ACCACTGATTGGTTCAAAATTGAGAAAGGAGTTCAGCAAGGCTGTACTCCTTTCTCAATTTTGAACCAATCAGTGGTTCCGTGTCCAGTTCTCACTGTTGCTTCTTGACCCACATACAGGTTTCTCAAGAGACAAATAAGATGGTCTGGCACTCCCATCTCTTTAAGGACTTGCCACAATTTGTTGTGATCCACACAATCAAAGTCTTTAGCATAGTCAATGAAGCAGCAGTAGATGTTTTTCTGGAACTCCCTAGCTTTCTCCATGATCCAGCGTATGTTGGCAATTTGATCTCTAGTTCCTCTCCCTCTTCGAAATCCTGCCTGTACTTCTGTTAGTTCTCGGTCCACATACTGCTGGAGCCTAACTTGTAGGATTTTTAGCATAACTTTGCTAGTATGTGAAATGAGTGCAGTGGTGTGGTAGTTTGAACGTTCCTTGGCATTTCCCTTCTTTGGGATCGGAATGTAAACTGACCTTTTCCAATCCTGTGGCCACTGTTGAGTTTTCCAAATTTGCTGGCATATTGAGTGTAGCACTTTTACTGCATCGTCTTTTAAGATTTAGAATAGCTCAGCTGGAATACTGTCGCCTCCACTAGCTTTGTTGTTGCTCAGACTTCCTAAGGCCCATTTGACTTCACATTATTCCAGGATGTCTGGCTTGAGGTCAGTGACCACCCCATCGTGCTTATCAGGGATGTTAAGCTCTTTCTTGTATAGTCCTTCCACATCATAATCAGATTTTAAAGCCGAAATCCTATGTAAGGTTAGACAGAAAAAAGTCCCACAACTCCCAGCATTTCCCAATCAGCACTGCGGGATTCCTGTGATTGGGACTGCACTCTTAAAAGCCTAACAATGCAGTGGGCAGAAAGCAGACATCCAGTGATTTTAAGACTTTCACTCCAACATTCCTGACCATTGACCATACAGGCAATATCTTCTGGGAGCTAATGACCAAAACATCTGGAAATCTACTTTCTGCCCTTCCCTGGGCTAGGATATAAAAAGAGCAAAAGGAAAGGTGACACCAATAAGTGCCTGTTCAAAAACTGAGTCCTTTGGTTTCTCTATTGCTTAATGACAGAATATTGTCTCTGCCATCAGGCGAATGACCCATCTGCAACCAGACAAATTAAGTGCCCTCAAAATGAGTAAGCAGGAGGGTTTGAAAGAAAAACGTTGCCCAACTGTAACCAAGAGGAAGAAATGAAGTTTTAAGAAAGCTTTTTACACAAAGTAACAATGACAGAAAAGGAGAGATTGAAGCAGAACAATCAAAGAACAGTCCAGTAATGATAAATAAGTAATAGTGCAAGACTATAAAAGTCCAAGACCTCCAAAGCCTGCTTATCAAGCTTGTGTTCAGGCTGACTGTTTTCCCGGAGAAAGGAAAAAACTCTCTCTCAACCCAAGAAAGCTTCACTGTGCCAGTTCTGATGCCGTGATTCATTCTAGACCACTCACATTGTTTCTTGCAGTTCCATCAACAAAATCGTTCTACTAGCAAGAATGGCATCGTCCTTGCTATCAGCATTTAGCCAACAGCCTTCCTGAAAATTAGCTTTTATCTTCAGAGTTTGAAAATGATTTCTCCTCCTCTTATTTTCATGAATAATTTGGAGCTAAACATACATGCTTTGATCCAATAGAGTATGAATGGTGCAGCCAACACTGAAAGCATATAGACTTTTTTTTTCTTTTGTAAGAGTGATAACTTGGGTGGATTTTGGGGGATGGTGGAGGACAGGAGAGCCTGGAGGAGTGTTGTCTGTTGGGCCGTGATGGGTCAGCATGACTTTGAGACTAAATAGAACAGAACAGTGATAATCTATCCACCAGCTGTTTGGAGCCAGAAGGACTGGGAAGAGATTGGGAAAGACTGAATCCATATCTTGTTATGAACAGCTGACTGCCATAACAGCATGGAAAGCAACATGGAAAGATCAAATCTTTCATCCAGTTAGCCTAGCCTTATTGACCCTGGCTGGCAGTCACTGTCCAAGGTTTCAGAGCAAGATCTCCCAGAGCTGCTGCTGATGCCAAGGGCTGAACCTGAGATCTGGATGCAAAGCATAGTTTCTGTCACTGAGCTATGGCCCCACCTGGCAGGATTTCAACTTTGTGTTCCTAGATTCTTGGACTGGAAGAGTACGTCTCTCATGTATTTACATGACCAATTTCCCATCCAGATGGGAGATGTATGCATAGAAATCTACTTCTACAGGTGCATAACTCCTATCAGTACTGGGGGAATAAGACAATATCATAGTTAAATGGAAATGCTCTACTCCCAAAAATTGCTTTCAGATTCATGGGCACACTTAATATTTGGGAGAGGTCTATTGGCTCATTTGTCCTGCAGTCCTTTGGGTCCACACACACTTATTCCTGGGGCTCCCTCTTCCAAGAGGGAATTGCCCTGCCTTCCAAGATACCCAGTTTTGCTTAACCCATTCCCTTTGCAGGATTCCCTCTTACCTTGATTACACTTCTCCCCTCCTCCCTACTTGGAGTGTCCTCCTCTCATTCCCATTGTTCCATCACATCACACCCATGGTTGCTTCTGCATCCCACCACACTAAGCTCTGCTCAAGGAAGTAGGAAATCACCTGATGCGCTGCTTCTTTGCTGCAGAACTAAGTGTGCTGGGAAGCATAAGCAGTGGGGCAGGTGAATGGAAGGACGATGGGAATGGGGGAACCACAGAGGTCTGGCAGTGCCCTCGGAGGTCCTGGTTGGCACTAGAGTGCCCTTGAGCACCAGGTAGCTTCCCACTGAACTAGACCAGTTTTTTTCCACTGGTCCGTGGAGCAGCACTGGTCCGTCCGTATTTCCTGCCAGTCCGTGAAAGAGCTGCTGTTACGTGTGAGCACGACAGCAGCATCTTACTTGCCAGAACCAAAGTGGGGGCTAGTGTGCTCTCCCTGCTAATTCCTCATCTCTTCCTTGGCCAAGGAGGGTGGGGAGGGGAGAGGCAGCGCAATGGGAGCTCCCTGGGAGCCACACTGTGCCAGGTCTGCCCTCTGGACAGGGCCCCAAAGACTGGGCCTTTCCCTTTTTCTGCTGTCTTTTCTACTGGGAAAGGAAATGCTGAAGTGGGATTGTGCTGAGAGTGTTTTCTCTGTGCTGGTGTTTATGGGGGTTTGAGTAGGGGCTTCATTCTATTTCGTCATTTAACATTATATTATTGTGTTAACTTTGTTTGATTTTGTATTGCTCTGCTATTAATATTGTATTTGAATTTGTATTTGCTATAAGCATAATATTGCATTTATATTGATTTTGTATTTTGCTATTGTAAATTTTTGAT